TGTTCGGATTGCAACTAAATAAATGACTCGTACTAATATGCTATTCAATAGGTGTTCAATCAAATCTTAATTCAATAGGTATACTTATCTATTATGAATCATTTCATTTGAAGGTCAACTTTACGCATAAACTAAATTGCATCTCAATATGTTTTATAGCGATTTATATGCGATATACATATGTATACTTTCATATAGATTCACACACATGAATATATATATATATATATATATATATATATATATATACATATTCTACAATAATATTAATAGTGAATAAATGAGTACTGTAAAGAAATGTTATGTTATGCATGCGGGCTCATTTATTCAATCAAATTTAAATGTATCCCAACAATAAGTAATTAAATTAATGTGCCGATCAAATTTTTACTGTAATAGTAATTTCATGTAAATAATTCATAAATATTAGTGACGTATTCGGGATTGATATGTAATTCTACCATCTCTCTAATCCTTAATTCTGTTAATAATATTTACAAAAAATATAAAATTTTATTAGCAAAGTAACCCAAGCTTTATGTATATAGTTTAATATGTATGTTAACTTTTATGAAAATATGACATTAATATTAGTCACTTTTTTTAAGATTAATATGTAATTCTACCGGAAATCATCAACAAATCATGCAATCCTTGATTCTAACAAATCCTTACAAAAACAAAAAAATTTATTAAAAAAGTAACCGTAAAGTAAAGTAAGTAAGTAAAGTAAGTATATAGTTCCATGATATGTATGCTAATTTTCATGAGAATATGACATGAATATTAGTCACTTGTTTTAAAATTGACATGTAATTCTTCCGGAATCATCAACAACTCATACAACCCTTGATTCTGTCAAATCCTTACATAGAAATATAATTTCATTAATTAATAGTAATATTCATTGAGCATAGTTATTATATGATTATTATATATGTTAATTTTTAGGTAAATCGACTAGTGAGGTGCATGGCATAGTGCCTTAATGCAACTTTCCGTACTGTAATTAAAATCTTGGTACGGAACCAAAAAATTACACAAAATGAGTTTAAATTATTAAAATCTCTATAAAATATCTGATAATTTGATGTTCATATGTCCAATAAACATTTTTGACCGCCAAATGACATTTTTTAACTTATTTTTATTGAGAGTCCATACCGCTGGACCTGCCTTCCCAAAAATTTAATCAGTTGTTCATTAAAATCGGACGCTCCGTTTTCTTAAAAAATGACTTACCGTTTTTTAGCACTTTTTGCACCGTATCTTCAGAACGGCTAGGCTTGCCTTCGCCAAAAACTAATCAGCACATCTCCTTATCAATACAAATCGAATGTTCTTTGAATTATTCAAATCGCTTGATCGGTGTTCCTGAAATCGTCGACGAAAATTTGTATCCGCACACACCCACACACACATACACACACACATACATTCATTTTCGTAAACATACAACTTTGAAACGTAAAGATATATACAAATTTTCATTTTCGATTTTTTTGCGATTACTATAAGTTACCCTACGGAAAGTTAATATTAGTCACATTAGTTAATTACATGAATATTAGTGACTTCATGTAAATTGAGATGTAATTCTACCGGAAATCATCAACAACTTATGCAATCCTTGATTCTGTCAGATCCTTACTAAATCTTATGCACTCTTATGATTCTGTCAAATCCTTGCTAATATATATAAAATTGAAACAATAAGAATGAAAAATACTCACTAATTAGAATATATAAACTCTCATAAACTACTCTTTTACAGTAAAATAATTGCGAAACTGATATGTTGTGGTACCTCGTGCATTTTAGCGAGGCATGTGACATCGCTCTTGTGACTTTGTGTTGACGAAGGTAATTTAGGCGTGTACATAAATTAATTAGATTTTTGTAAAATAATATATTAGTGATATATTATTTTCAAAATTTTTCTTTGTTTTTGTAAATATTTGCAATAAGATTCCATATATGGAATGAAATCATTTAACGATTTTGGATAAATTCATTAACGAAATATTAAGTTTTCATTGACCTTGCGTGGTTAAACTCTAATAATAGTAATTGATATTGATAAGTAATTATTATTACTTTTCTGTATCTTTATCTCATCTGTTTTCAAACTACCAGTAAGTAGCTTTTTGAAATGTTATATCTTCTCATTTATCCCCAAAATAACTGAATGCATAACCAGGCAGAGTATAATTAATTGGAAAAAATTAATTTATGTTGCTAGCACTTATAACAAAACAACACAAAATCACACACGATATACGAGTATATTAAATGTATATATATATATATATATATATATATATATATATGTCCTATATTAGAATTCCACATACCTTGATACAAAATAAGCGGGTTGTACCCCGTAAATCGAACTAAAATTCTGAACTCGATGTTAAATGTTAAACGTTCAGTATTCTACTAATGAGAAGTACTATCTTTTGCTAAGATCACGTGCGACTGTGAAATCGCACGTGACTGCTGGAAGCTGTCATAGTATGTTAATACAAATAAATGCTCTTTGCGCGCATTTCAATTGCTTTGTTGAAGTCAAGCATCGCAATTCATATGATCGTTAACGCGGTTTGTACGATTTTTATTATTGTATTACCGATAACATCGGAAATATTGATTTTTTTTATTATTAAATGTTAACTAGTGGTGCATGGCATCGTGCTAATGCAAATTGCTGCAAATTCCCGTGCCGCAATTTAAAATTGTTTGAAAAGTTTGAAATAAATTTTGAAACCTTTTGAATTTTTAACTTCCCTTGTGGTAAGTTATAGTAATCGCAAAAAACCGAAAATGTAAATTTTTGCATATCTTCACGTTTTATAGGTTTCTGAACATTTTGGCATACCTTAGCAAAAATTGATGTATGCGATGTATGTGTGTGTGTGAGTGTATGTTTGGTTACAATTTTTCGTCCACGATTTCGGGCGCACGAACACCCGATTTGAATAATTCAAAAAACATTCGATTCGTATTGATAAGGAGACGGGCTGATTAGTTTTTGGTGGAGGCAGGTCTAGCCGTTCCGAAGATACGGGGCAAAAAGTACCAAAAACGGTAACTCAGGTTTTAAGAGAACAGAACGTCCGATTTTAATAATTCAAAGAACATTTTACTTGTATTGACAAGATGTAGAACTGATTAAATTTTTGGGAAGACCTCTAGCGGTTCTGATATCTAGTGAAAAAAGTAAAAAAAAAAATGCCATTTGGCGGCCAAAAATGATCATTAAACATATGCACATCAAATTATCAGATATTTTATGTATGAATTTTCTTTACATTTCTATAGGTTCTGTAATGTCGTTTGTCAGTTAAACGGCGACACGGCGTTTACGCGCTTCGATATTTCGTCTCTATGCAGCTAAAGCTGTGTGACTGCTTTAAAAAACGTTCAAAATTTCCAATAAAAAAAACATTTATTTCCAAAATTTTTTCTTCAACAAATTCAATTTTTTTTTTCAAAAATTTAAAATCTCATAAATCTATTTTTTTCAGTTTTAAAAAAATATTTAATCTTTTTTTAAAAAAATAGTTTCTGGTACGGAATGTTCCAGCAATTTGCCTTAAGGCACGATTCCATACACATACACCACTAGTTTCATTATTATATTAACTCGTGGCGCATGACATTGTCCTAAGGCCAATTGCCAAAAAAATGGATGTATGTGTGTGTGTGTTCAGATACAAATTTTCGTCGACGATTCGGGAACCTGGTTCATCCGATTTGAATGATTGAAAAAATTTCAATTCTTATTGACAAGAAGACGTGCTGACTAGCTTTTGGCAAAAGCAGGTACAGCCGTTTAAAGATACGGGGCAAAAAGTGCCATAAATAGTAATTCAATTTTGAATGAAAACGGAGCGTCCGATTTCAATGGTTCAGAAAACGTTTTACTTTAATTGACAAAATGAAAAACTTATTAAATCTTTGAGAAGGCACATATGCACATCAAATAATCAGATTTTTTTATAGAGATTTTAATAAGTATAAATTTTGTTGGCACTTCTATATAATGGATACCGTAACATTGTTTATCAATCCGTTTGACTGCGTTCGGAAACAGTTCAAAATTTCCAAAATAATTCAAAAACATAAAAATTAATAATTTTTTTTGTATATCGAAAATAATTCAGATTTTAATTTTAATTCTGGCTAAAGTTCTAAAGATTATTATATGTAATACTTTAAATTTAAATGAATAATTTAACTTTGTAATTCAGTTTATATAATTCTTATAAATATTAGACAATGTTACAGTATTTATAATAATCTATTTGAAAACATTTAATATTCCTCGAACATTTCGTTAAGTTCTAGCAATTTGCCTTAAGGCACAACACCATAAACCACTTATTTAATTTTTGTTTTGCTCTTCTTCTTTAATATCATTATCGAAAATTTTGTGCAATTTGCTTACGCATTGTTTCGTTTTATTATCTTACTATCCTCAATTTTATTATTAATTTAGAATTTTTTTAATAGAAAACCTAACCTAGAAGCCACACAATGTAAAAAAACGATGTTTTTCATAATAACTAGATATTTATGATATGGCTTGGTAACATATGAGTGAAGTTGCATTTTATGTGTAAAACGCCTGATCGCACAGTAAATACATGGCATTTTGACAGTATTTAGTAGCATTTTGTATGAAAACTAGAAACGTAACATATCTTTGTCGTAACATTGGTCTAATTTATGGCAGAATCGATACATTAGTTAAAAATCAATATAAGTTTAATTTTTAATTATAATTTATTTTAATATTGTTTAATAATAATTTTAATTTATCTAGGTATTGCAATAAGTATTTCAGGTGCAGTTATTTTAAAAAAGAAAACATTTTCGTATTATAACGATATATTTCAAAATCCAAACTCCCAAATTTTTATTACACATTAGCATTCTCGTATATTTTATGAATATGCTAATACCACGTTATATTATGAAAATACATAATTTTTTATTTACAAAAAGTAAAGATCAGTTATAGCTGTGCTCACTAATAATATACTATAACACACCATTAGCGTTGCAAACTTATGATTTTTCATCCAATTCAGCATTCCCTTCTTAGATTGAGCGTCATGATCTTCCTCATTATTATCGTTGGTGCGATATATCAAAAGATACCTAATACGTGCGAGATCTGGTCTATGTACGTTGTAATGCTTTATTATCTGAGATGGAACTTTGGTTACTTTATTTTCGGGATATTTTATACAGCACATGAATTGGTCGTGATCGGCTAGTTCGCACACGGCCACGCAACATAATCGAGCACCAAAGGCGCTGCCACCCCAACCGAATCCCGTTGGACTTTTGCCTATGGCGTCGCAAATGTCGTTAGAAAGATATACTCCAGAATCAGTAGATCTTGATTCATTGACTACTAATTTCATACCTTTGTGAAGTACGGTGTAAAAATATTCTAGTTTGTTACCGTAGCATAAATGTACTGCTTGGGTTCGTTTAGCGATTAACTTCCAGCGTTTCTCTTCTTCACTATTTTGTGAGTACTGCACTCGAAAAATTAAATTTGGTTTGGTATTGCTAATTGACTAGAAATAAAGCCAATTACTGACTCAGCTTCGTCATAATCAGTTAGTTTTATTATCGGTTCACTGGTTTCAACTAACAACCAATGTAACAAGTCTATTACCGATCTTTTTAAAGGACATATGTAACGATCACCTTTCTGCTCTAAAATTAACGAAAAAGATGGTGTGTCTCCTATAACTCGTAACAATGCTTCGATGTCTTTACCAGTGTGCCGTCTAACATATTCGGGAGGAAAAGGATTTACTGATTCCTCATAAAAGTAACTGTTACATGCCGAAACAAAAAGGCTCCATTTAATATCACAACCTGAAGAATTTTCCTTGATAATTTTACGTAGGCTGCATAATTTTTTGCGAGTCTCTAGCTTTCTTTCGAGATCTTTAGGACTCAAAGTTCGTCCACGATTGGTATTGGTTTTTCTCTTGGTCCATAACTGCTTTACGGCACATTCTTTATTTTCATCTCCATCCCCCATGCTACTATTAGTTTGAAGATCATATAAGACCTAATTTAATAATCACAAATTAATTTAGCACGAATGTGTTTGTACAAATATAATTTTAATGACACATTTGAAATTTTATTTTGGTATTCATTTATTTTTTATATAAATAATTCCTGAATAAACAAATAAATAAATCAAAGTTGCTAATTCCCTAATATCATTATTAAATTATTTATATATATTGCGTCAAAAATTTTATAGCCATTCGATGTAAATCGATTGGGACCTGCGTTTATCATTTTCAACTTCTTTATAATTAGCAAAAAATTTTGATAGTTGTATTTTTTGTCAGTAATTTACACAAACTTTTTTTCACAATAGAGATCGCGTTTTTTAAATATTATAGCTCTGTGTCAGGTCGTTTAATTTAAAAAATCTATCGGCATTTGAATTTTTTCAGCAGCGCTTTTTTGACATAAGTCAAATTTGACTTTCATCGGTGTTTTCTCAGAAACGGCTGAATCGATTTTGAAAACTAAAAAGCCATCCACACAAACTCAATAAGCACTTTCGTTACTTAGTTTCTCGAGCCGATCAACCGAGTCTCTGGAGTTAGCAGAAGTGCAAAATAGTGCGTTCAGCTTTCATAAAATAACTTTAACCGATTTTGCAAATTTAAGGATATCATTGGAGAATCGCGTATATTAGTTATTGGAAAAGATCGGTTGGATCGTTTCTTTGTAATTGATTTTTGCAAAAAAAGACGATTTTATTGAAACTCTGTTTTTTTTAACTTCCTGTAGTTATAGTAATGGGCCGAAAAATCGAAAATGAAAATTTTTGCATTTCTTCACGTTTTGAAGGTTTCTGAACATTTTGGCATATCTCAGAAAAAATGGATGTGTGTGTGTGTGTGTGTTTTGTATGCCCGCATTTTCTCGTCCACGTATTTGAGCGCAAGGATCAACCGATTTGAATGTTATAAAAAAATTCGATCAACCGATTTGAATGTTATAAAAAAATTCGATTCCTATTGATAGCGAGGTGTGCTAATTAGTTTTTGGCAAAGGCAGGTCCAGCCATTTCGAAGATACAGAGCTAAATGTGCAAAAAATGGCAGTTTTTGAGAAAACTGAACGTCCGATTTGAATGATTCAAAAAACTTTCAGCTTGTTTTAATAAAATAATGGCTGTTGGAAAAAAAAGTTGTTTCAATTTTAATTTTTAACTTCCCGTAGGGTAAGTTATTCTAGTGGGCCAAAAATCGAAATTGAAAATTTTTATATTTCTCGACGTTATGAAGGTTTCTGAACATTTTGACATACCTAACAAAAAAAATGGATGTGTGCGTGTGTGTATGTATGTATGGATACAAATTTCCAGTCACGTTTTCGGGCGCACGGATCAACAGATTTGAATGGTTCAAAAAACATTCGATTCCTATAGATAGGGAGATGTGCTGATTAGTTTTTGGCAAAGGCAGGTCCAGCAGTTACGGAGATAAAGAGCAAAGAGTGCAGAAAATAAAAATCGAGTTTTTTAGAAAACGGAGCATCCGATTTGAATGAAAACATTCAATTAGTAATGATTGGGAGAAGTGTTTATTAGTTTTTGGCAAAGGTAGGCCCAGCCATTTCGAAGATACGAAGCTAAATGTGTAAAAAATGTCAGTTTTTGAGAGAACTAAGCATCCGATTTAAATGATTCAAAGAACTTTCTGCTTGTCTTAACAAAATAATTGATTTTGGAAAAAACAATTTTGTTTCAACTTTGTTTTTTTTTTCAAAAAAAATTTTTTTTTGTATATCGAAAATAATTCAGATTTTATTTTTAATTCTGACTATAGTTCTAATATACTTTAAACAAATAATTTCAACTTTGCAATTCAGTTTATATAATACTTATAAATATTAGACAATGTTACAATATTTATTTATAATATTCTATTTGAAAACTTGCAAAATTCCTCGAACATTTCGTTACGGTACGGGAAGTTCCAGCAATTTGCCTTAAGGCACGAAGCCATACACCCCACTAGTTTCATTTTTTTATCGACAATAATTCAGATTTTAATTTCAGTTCTGACTAATAAACAAATAGTTTCAACTTTGCAATTCAATTTTTATAATTCTTATAAATATTAGACAGTGTTACAATATAAAGAACGAATTTGGAGATGAACTATTAGAGTATATTGCTCCGGAAATAGTTAATAAAACAAGAGAAATAAATCCAAGAAGTCAGAAAGATAGATTGGTAATACCAATATGCTTAGAAGAACTAACAACAATTGAAATAAAAAGAATGGATACAGCACCAGCAAAAAACGAAATACACTACAAAATGTTATTTAAAATGAATGACATATGGAGAGAATACTTAGTGAAAATATTTAATGACTAATTATTGAACGAGTCTAAGAGAGAGAGCATAATTGCGCCAATTTCAAAAAAAGTCCGTAACGCAAAACTAGTAAGTTCATATAGAGCTATATGTTTAGAATCCAATATATTAAAACCGTTTGAAAAAATTATAAAAAATAGACTAGAATGGTACATCCATAGCCGGTAATCTCCGAGCATATGTATCTGGATTTTAGTTAGAAATGCTTTCACTAGTAGCGCTTATTTTCGTAAATAATAAATTTTGCAGAATTAATTAAAAATGACGCTCTTGAACTATTTTTTTTTGTCAGTGATTAGTGTCAAAACTCGACGACAAAATAAACGCTTGTTAAACCTATAAAACAATTAATATATCGAATTGCAGAGGTTTACAATGCAAAAATACCAAGAACACTGCATTAGTAATGTATTTCCTACTAGAATCGATGTAGTATGTAAAATGATTAATAATATTTACGGGCCTTCAACAATAAGTAAGTATTTTTATCAATATGCATACTTGAAAATACTTGCATCTATTATACGTGGCAGACGACGGACCAGGCGTGTTGATCGACCCATCTCTGAAGCAGGATCAGAACCACAACCCCGAACCACCACCCAATATCATTTCTTTTCAATATATATATATATATATATATATATATATATATATATTTATTTATTTATTTATTTAAAAATTATTTTCACATCTCAGTCAGACATGGGTATCTGGTATGAGAGATTATGGAACAGTTTTCTTATTTTATATACTTATACATATATGATATGTATAATAGTGATACTTATACATATCATATGATATTTCATTAATTTTGATGGAAATGGCACTCATAAACTATTTGATTTAAATGAAAAAAACATAGTATGCGTCTTTTATTTGCATGATAGCTCACTCATTTTACACGCATTTTAAAGCTTATTTTGAGCACTATAAAATTTTGATATCTAGCCTAATATTGTTCCTAGAACACTTTATAAAACACTAAGATTTATTAAGATTTTAATTGATATAATTCTGATCATTACATGATTTTCGTTAAAAGGTATATTTTTGAAGATGTTAGCAAAAAAGTGAAAAATGCAAAAAAGGAACAAATTTTCAGTAGCCAGTAACTTGAAAAGTATTTGCTTTTTTGAAAAACATTATTGAACATTTTTCTCTTATAATTAATTCTTTTATCGATACCGATGAAAAGAAATGTCATCCCCCCGGAAAGTGGCAAGAGTCTAAATTATTTTCACTTTTGAACGGGAGAGTAAGATGAACATAATTTCAAAATTTCATGCAAATTGGAGCACAGTAAAAAAAAATCTAGCACAAAATGCTCCATTGACTTGAGTAAATATTCCGTATCCAATGCCAAACATATGATTTTTTGACACAATGAAACTTCTAAATAATTTTTTCAATGAGTAAGTTTTTGTTTGTATTGTGATTTAGTAAAGTAAGCAAATATGATAATAATCTGTCAAATTAATTATAAAGGGTATATTA